TATAGAAGGTGCACAGTGTCATTCACACAAACAACAAACACCATCATGGTAACACACATGAAACTGAAATAATGCAATAAACATCCATTTAACAACATTAGGTGTAACACACAACCCTAATATACAAAACTGATTAGAAAAAAACAAAAAAATAGAAATTTCAACAAAAAAACATCAAATTTGAAATGTAACGCAGGGAATTCTGGGAATGTCAATTTACGGTTATTCACTAAATTATTAGGTCTTTTTCACTTCCAAAAACAGTATACTACCGTAAAATTAATGTCCAATACATGTAATGTCCAATACAGTTTTTCACCGTATATAGTAGGGGAATTTACCGTTAACCGTTTAACAGGTTTTTACTGTAGCATTTTTACAGTCTTTTACCATTAAATTCACGGTCATTTTTTAGTGCATGCATGATAGTGGCTTAATTTTGGAAATTTGGGAAATTCTGCTTTTCACGCAAAGCTAAAAAATGGCTTTAATGTAATATACTACATAAGACATTTAGATCACCTTCATAATGCTTTTATGGTGTTTTTTTGTTATTTTTAATCTTGACAGTCCTCATTTACATGTTCAAGAGAGGTCAAACTGGTTTGGAACAACATTACATGATATTAAAATAAGACTGCAATACTGTATAAGGATGAAACCTTGGAAGAATGCAACACTAAGTGGCCCATTTTCAGTCCATCAGTTCAACAGCTTTTCTGTCTTACAGGTATAACAGAGACGGTGGCCCAACTTGCATCTGGCTGGGTGACAGACAGGAATCTGGTTCACAAATATCACTACCATAAGGCCTACCTGATCCTGTGTGGTGTGGTCAATCTTCTCTCCCCTCTGGCCACCTCATACATCTTGCTCATGGTCTACGCTGTCTTCTTTGCCATCTTCTGTGGGGGGTACATGGCTCTCCTACTTCCTGTACTGGTGAGTACTGGCAGGACTGTGCATGTGCCATTGGCATAGTAAAGCATTCTTCATAGCAGTCTTGTAACGATTATGTATAAATGTGTATATATAGATAATATACTATAATTTAGTTAAGTTTAAAATTGAAATGTCAGTTGTCTTTGTTTAATTGTTTTGGCACTTTCAATGTTGGCAATGTTACCAGCAGCTTGAAAATATGTCTTAGGAGTTATGAGCTCAGTTCTGTTCATTAAAAATATGTGTGGACCGGCAGGGTGGGGACATCTAATGCAGTTTCCTTCACTAGTATTATATGTGCTCATGGAAAGGTCTTCTTTCTAGTTCTGAGTCATTGAGTTCTTGTGCTGTAATACTGCAGAGGGCAGTGTAAGGAGAGAGGGCTAGATTGACAGTCGGCACTGCAGTACACCCGTTACTTTGGAAGGAATCGTCGGTTTTACCTTTCAAATATTTTTACAACCTATGGAATCACTCTGAACCAGATAGACAGTATTAGTGCCTAAAAGGCCCCTGGGGAAAACAGTCTGTTGCTAACATGTATAGACATTAAATAAAGGATAGTTTACCGCAAAAGTCTTCACCCTCAAGTTGTTCCAAACATGTATGAATGTCTTTCTTCTGCTGAACACAAAAGAATATATTTTGGAGAATGTAGGTTACCAAATTGTTCTAGTCTCCATTGTATTTTTTTCCCATACTATGGAAGTCAGTGAGAACCAACAACTGTTCTTTTATGTTCAAAAGAAGAAAGAGTAAATAATAGCAGAATTTTCATTTTTGGTGAACTAAGAGACTAATCAAATATTGATCATTTGTGAACTCCCTGAACCTCAAGAAAGCAATTAAAAATAAAATTTGCATCAACACAATGTCATTGCTTGTCAGATTGTAATATGCAAATCAACTGTTCTATTATGAGTAAATTTGATTAAGAGAATTACTGTAGTAAAGCGAATGGTTTTTCATACTGCATGATGCTAAAAAAAAAAGTATGAAAATGTATGAAATATATACACTACCGTTCAAAGGTTTGGGGTCAGTAAGATTTTTTTTTTCTCAGCAAAGATGCATTAAATTTAGATGCATTAAAAATTCTTTATTGTCATAAACAGTTTTGCATCGTTATAAAATGAGTTTACATTGTTACTTTTTATTCATCAAAGCATATATATATATATATATATATATATATATATATATATATATATATATATATAATGTACAGTGGGTACGGAAAGTATTCAGACCCCTTTAAATTTTTCACTCTTTGTTATATTGCAGCCATTTGCTAAAATCATTTAAGTTAATTTTTTTTCCTCATTAATGTACACACAGCACCCCATATTGACAGAAAAACACAGAATTGTTGACATTTTTGCAGATTTATTAAAAAAGAAAAACTGAAATATCACATGGTCCTAAGTATTCAGACCCTTTGCTCAGTATTTAGTAGAAGCACAATGCAAACCATTTTGTTAGTGGGTGCATGAGAATGGATTTTGTTTTTATATAAATTCATAGAAATAAATAGAAAGCTTCTCTCACCGCCATCTTTAATGGCAATCAGATCAGCACAAGAACAAAATGAGGAGTCTTTGTCATCCACATAAGCTTTTATGTTACAGCACATGATGTGATGCACATGATGAATCTTGATCTTCCTACATTAGAAAGTTACTCAGATGCTTCCACCGATATGATGGTAAATTTGTATCACAGGACACATTTTGCTCACTTAGACAAATGTACTGAAATAAGAGTATTTTGTCAGATGGTGATGGGTCTATGCAATAAGCCTATTAAGACTCTGTGAGCCTCCTTTTTGATCCTTTAATGTGTGTTCGTGTCTGTAGATGTGTTTTTGCTATGAAGCTCAGTACTGTGTAAAGGACTGCAGAAGGCCATAATGGCCTTCAACAGATTTTGTCATTGGTGCCTCAATTGGAAGACATTTTGGACCAGAATATTCCAGACATGGACTTTTTTTTATTTCTTTCACTGTTGCCAAATCAGTCACACTGTCATTTACTGCTGAGAGTTTAACCAAGATATTTTTTCTGTGTGAATACAAGTGAATATTCTTCTGATGCCAAGATTAGCAAGAATTAGGTCAGTTGGCTTGTGGGTTTAAGTGTACCTGTCCAAGAGGCCCAGACATTGAGCATTTACATTGAGTGTTTCTCTAAAGTGCAAATCCTTTTTTACTGTCATTTTTTATTTTTAGGTTTTGATTTTGTTGATATACTACAGTGCACTGTTTATCACCTCTGTTTGCCTTTGTACACAATGACTGTTCTAAATATCCTGTGATGAAAGCCAAAGATGCAATAGAAATATAATTGATCAATCTATGCATTTGAACATGTCCTGTGTTGATAGCAATCTATGTTGTAGTTCTCCCTAGTAATGTAGTTCTGCATGAGCTGTTGCCCTCTAGTGGCAAACACGATTACTGCTACTGGAATGTTGTAGCAATTAACAGGCAGTTCATGTTCTGGAATGTCCAATTATTTTCTTTCATCAGCCAAGTACTGAGTAAGAATTTCTTAGAATGAGCAAGACACAGAAATGCAACAATTTAAAATATTAGTACAAAGATAAGAACTGTAGGTCACTGAAATCTTCAAATCATTGCCCACTGGAATCTTTTTTTCTTCTTCTTCTTTTGGACAGCAAGCTTTTCTTTATCACTCAATTTTTTAATGAAAGCAGGTTTTTTTTTTTTTTTTTTGAGAAATGGGTTGGTGTTTTGGAAAATTTCTATAAATTGTTAGCCTTAAAGACAGTTAAGGGGACACAATAACACTATTAATGTCACTGACAGACTTCACCATTTATACTGTACTGTTAGTGATTTTGTACTTGTGGAAAATTGTGATAACATGATGCTAGCCTGAGGGGTTTTTTTTATTTGTTTTGTTGACAATGTTCACAATTGTCAAGATCTACAAGACTGTGATTAAAGCCAGCAGTACATTTGACAGCCACTGGGTTTCCTGTAAAACATTTGTTAATCACTGGGAGATTTTATGTAAATTATAAGGAAAATATAAAAGAAAATAGTTTATCTGCAAAACAGAAAATAGATAATATAATCGTTGAAACAGCACTGTCTGAAGTCCATTGACCATTGATTGATTATTATTAGAGTATAATATTAGTGCATGAAAAAAAATGCATTTTCATATTAAGACTTGTCATTTAAAATCACACATTCATTCTTTTCATGAGTAACATCAAAATATTGCACAGTGGTGTAACAGATATCTTTATTAAGAACACTGCATGTAGCACACAGCAATGGTAAGCAATGGTAAATATAAACCTACTTATTCTAAAATATTTCAACCAAACTGCTCAGCTTAAAAATGAGCTGGTACTTACAGACATTTTTGCCAAGAGGAGATACTGCACTATTTTCATGTTTAATTTACTGATGAATAGATGCCCACAGTGCAACACTGATGTTCTGTGGACACAACAGCACATAAAAAAATGTGTAGAATATCTCAAATCACATGCATTATAAAATGAATAATTAAATATGCTTGTTCAGCTGTAGGTAACAAAGGCTTTTAATCAATAACAAACCGTCTCAGTTTCATCTGAAGACAACTGTGCATTCATTACTCAGCAGATACTCAGCTCTGTCCACCTGAAACAGATTCAAAACAGAACATTGGTTAAAAAAATGTCAGCATATATTATATTCTCACTATAAAGTGGCCATTGGTGTTAAAATCAGTTGATAACAGACAGCAGATAGGTCACCTATAACATTAATAGCTGACGGTTGTAAACTGATGTTTTGAGTTTGAACACAATCATCAGTCTCCTCTAAAACCACTGGGGCCCCTTGATATCAATTTGATGTCAAACATTACTCAAGACTTGATCAAGATGCTGTAACGTCATTTTAAATTCAGTTTGGACAGCACATTTATTCCAGGGGTAATTGGGTGAAAATAGGAAGTTAATCCCACACTGTTAATTGGTTTAATGTATATGTTACATTTACATCAAATCAATGTCATGTCAAGGTTTGACGTCTGTTTGATTTGCATATTTGACCTGTTTTTTTTTTATGTCAATTTGATGTCTTTTCAACATCAATTGCACACTGGGAATGACTGTCACACATAACAGTACGGGTATAAGCTCAGAATTAACTCTTTACAGAGCAAAGTCTGACTGCATTCAGTTTGTGCATTTACCTCAAGTTTCCAATAAGCATTCATTAATTCCTAGTGAGATCACAGGGCAGAAAGCCTATTGTGAGGCCTAAAATAGCTTATAGTCATCATGTGGCAGCTTATGCAGAGAACTAAGCTACAACCAGGAACAATGAGCTAATGTTTTGGACTGTCAGACTGAATGCGCTCTTTTCATTACTTAGGAAAGTGGGAAGGGAACAGTGCCTGAACTACACAAAGAGATGATGTAAATGAGGCCAGAGGACAGGCTTGAATGTTACCATGGAGACCTACGGTTACCAACTTACCAGGCCCATTCCAAAGCATCTGAAGACAAGCCAGTCAGTCAGAACTGTGGTAAAGATACAGGAGGAAACATTAGAGACCGAGACAGCTGGTTATTACTATCATCACTGACATGTTATTCTGACAATGTGTAACTGAAAACGAAGTAGTAAAATGTTATAGAAATGAATTATCATAATTGTTTCAGTTATACGTGTTAACGCAAATGGATTGTAATGTTAGCCAGTGCCCAAACCTTTTTGCAGTGAGCAGATTTTGGTCAAACTATGCCAGTCACATCTGTACTCATTATGAAAGCTGTCTCATTTCAAAGGCTGCGCCCTCATGAGGTCGCATTTGTCAGCCACCTACGTCATCAAGGATGTCTCAGTTCAGAAAAGTAATTATAAAATTAACTGTTATTCCCCGTGACGCATGAATTATTGTAATTTCTCTTTTAATTTGGAATGTAATGGTTACTTTTCTGAAATGAGGCAGCCTCAATGACGTATGTGGCTGATAAATGTGGCCTTCAGATGGCGCAGCCTTTAAAATGAGACATGCCAACAGCCATACAGGCAAAACATAAAATAAAAGCCAATGTTTCTTTAATTGTACTGTGAAATCTGAATAGACCATTTTGTTTTAAATACCTTTCTAAATGTAAATTCTACACGTTCATAAGCAGAAATCTATGTTTGTATAGAAAATTCTTGTTTGCCTTTATCTTTATAAAGTGACCACATGTATACCCGTATTAACAATATCAATGTAAAAGAGGAAATTCTAACAGTCCTAAGAAGCAGAAAGAAAAAGAAATAAAACAACCTTATGCAATCATAACTTTTGGACACCCATCATAATTTAAACTAGGAAATTCAACACCCGCAATAAGCCTCTGGTTGAGCCTGTCTATAATCAATGACGTTTACGGCAGAGCTAAATGATCAGTTATGATTTTCTACAGTCATCTAATCATTTTTGTTCTATGTTTCTTTCTATCATTAGGACAAAATGTTAAGACAATTCAGTTGGAACCTAGGAGACCCTAACATCGACAGGCATAGTCAATTATATTCCCAAGGTTCTGAGAAATCATCACAACTTAACTTTTTACAAAGTTACAATTCAAATTAACAATAAAACTTTGAAGCTAATTAACTGTAATGATTAGAAGGCTGACTGAAACGCTAAAAGTAAATGTAGTGAGGCTTTAATTGGAATGAAGAGCTCTATGCCACTACACAGGCTAAAAGGAAGTGTGGGATTGCGTTAAATTTATGTAAATTGTAAATGTTGTTGTTTTAGATCTAGTAAAAGCTATCTCCAATATTTTATAACCAAAATTAAAATGAAAGAACACCTATTACTTTATTTTGAAGACTTTTAATTATCTTAAATTAAGAGTTTTGGGGGGGTTTGTGTTGTTTACAGTCATTAGAAGTGTTTGAATGATCTGAATGAAGTAGAACTCGTTTGATGATCTATTCTAAGGAATACTACCAATAATTGTTTTTATGTGTGTTTTGGGGGGGTTTGTGTTGTTTACAGTCATTAGAAGTGTTTGAATGATCTGAATGAAGTAGAACTCAGTTGAACTCGTTTGATGATCTATTCTAAGGAATACTACCAATAATTGTTTTTATGTGCGAATAAGTTAATGGTTTATCTACATTTAAAAATACAACAAATGTAATATTCTCAACTTAAAAGAGATAGCTCACCCTAAAATTTAAATTCTGTCGTCGTCTACTAACCCTCATGTCATTCCAAACATATGTGACTTTATTCTGTGCAACACAAAAAGATATTTTGAAGAATGTTTCGACTATTTTTGCCCATATATTTATATTATGGAGGAAAAAACATACATTTAACATTTTTCAAAATAGAAGAAAGTCATACAGGTTTAGAACAACAGAGTGAATAAATTATGAACATGACTTTCATTTTTGGGTGAACTGGTGTTTTAACAATTGTATCATTACTGCAAAATTATTCATGTAAAATCACAAGCACAACAATCTCCTACTTAAAATATTACATATTTCTGCATTTTTCTTTTTTTTTCCCAGAAGAAACAAATAAATAAGGTTTTGGAAACTACAGCCCAAGATGTCAGAGTTACAACCAATGGCAGTGTTCTAATTGCGGAAGTGACACTTACCTGCACCAGGTAGACTACTAAAGTCTAAAGACCTGGTATTAACTAAATACTCCCTACTCACCACCCACACCAGAGGACTGGGTCTGGATCCTCACGTCAGAGGCCTGAATGAGCTGCTGGTGAAGTGATGCAGCTGATCGGACATCTTACTAAGGGGAAGATCTTCCTCCTGATGAGACTCCTCACAAGCAAACTCCATGTTAACTTTGGGAGGAGTTCACACTGGCAGCATGTTTTCTTTCAGGGGTTCTTCACAACGAAGGGTCAATTTACCACGTACCGATAATCATTTTCTCTTTGGGAAAATAAACGTTTAAGAAAACAAAACTATCAAAACTCGATTCGAGTCAGACACCATTTCGAAGGCTAAAAACGCTTTTGGCTTTTCTAAATCCTCTTCCTTCACTGATTTTCAATGGAGCGAAACAAAATCATATCAGATGAAATCAAAGGATGGGATAAACAAACACCTGCTCCTCTGAATTGGAAATCACTGATTCGAGGTTCATTCAGGGCCTCTATCGTGCTGGCAGTTGTGCTGGCAACGCACAGTACGGCCGGACAGGTTACAGCAAGCCTGGATACTTCCAGATGAAGGACACATAAAGGAAGCAGCCGCCATGCCTGTGAGAATCGAAAGACCCCAGCGAAGGTGCTGAAACAGAGACTTTAGTTTAGGTGAAGGTCTGCGTAAACATCATCTCTCCACTCATTCTCAAAGCTCAGAAGAACGGCCCCCTTCTCCCTGATCTGTTTGAGGGTTGGGGGCAGCAGCACCCTCAGGTTACTTAGCATGTGGGGCAACTCCAGGACACAAGGGTGGAAAACCCAGATCAACAACAACATCGAGCCTCAAAAGAGCTCTCTCGCCCTTTGCTCTCACTGCCATGACTGATCCCGGGCCGAACACAAAGGAGGAGAATTTCTCTTTCCTGAGCAGAAACAAGCAATCGAGCAACAATTCCTCCCGAAACACAACCGAAAAAAGCAGCGGCAGGCGTTCTTCAATTGATTTCCAACGAATAAACATTTTCTCCCTCAAATGAAACAATTTATTGATAGCGTGATATAATCAAATGAGGGGCCAGTGCACTTTTTTGTGTGTACAAACAGCCACGTCAAGAGCTGTGCAAGGAGTGAGTGACCGCTTCCTCTTTCTCCCCCAATCAAGAAATTAGGTAAACACAGCACAAATCAAGAGTGTCATTATTTCCGTTTAAATACGGGAACTGTAAGCACAAAAAGAACAATTACACAAGCAGGGAAGATGCTCTCAGTGAGAGTACACTAACACTAAATGGAAAGCTCTTGCCCCTGTGCATCCAAAGGGCTCCTGAATCATTTCAAACAATCATTTCTGCTTCCAGCCATGTGAAGTCCACTTGTGGAACGGTCCATTTCCTGTCGTGTGTGTGGCCGAGACTGAATGTACAGTATGTCCATTTATTCAAGTACACAAACAGCTGTTATATTATGAAATCACCAAGCAATCAACTTTTAAAACACAATTTAGTGTGACAAGTCATACATGAAAAGATGTTAATTATGCATCAGATCAGTACACTGCAATTAGCTAAACAGACAAAGAACACAAATTTCTTCTACTTCAGGATTTTAGAGAAAATTGTGGACTGTCATTTTAAAACCATTCAAACAATGACACACCTAAGACCAACAACATTGTGTAATATTTCAAACATAAATGGCTGTTCAACTAAAAACATACTTAAATGTATGTCTATAATAAAATAAAACGTAGGACTGTCTTACAGCTGCACAAGAACTGAATCGTTAGGGCATCAAGTCAAGTTTTTGGTACAAATATGTGGGCTTGATTTCTTTAAATTACCTATACACCTTAATTTCTTAGTGCTATTCACATGGCATATCTAACAAATTATGGATGATTATGACAATATCACATTATAGGCTACATCACTTTACACTGATGATCTGAAAAATCTGTTTTTATAGCAAATGCACCTTTTTGTCTTTATCTTTATAAAGAGACCTTAAGAATATCATTTACAATATCACTGTAAATAGGTTTTACCTGGGAAATTATGACAGTCCTATGGGAAAAAATGAATTAAAACCACTGTTAATTAATCAAATGAATTATTTGAGACCCATCATAATTTAAACTCAGACATTTCACACTTGCCCATTTTGAAAACAGAATTATGCTTCATTCAAAACCTTTCAAATGTAACCCAAAAACAGTATGTCGGAACAACTTTTTCTTCTTTAAACACAAACTGAATGCTTGATGTTATGCTTTGGTCTAAGGAGGGCTTACAAATATCTAAGTTTATAGTCAAAATACGTTTACAAATTATTTTTTAATGTGATAAAGGGGTGTTAAAATTCAGCCTGTATCAATCGATATAACACTGATGACATTTTTTTGGCTACATATATTAAACCTCTGCAACGGCTTACTGTACAACACTAGCATCAACATGCAGTTCACGGAGCAAAATATTCTGCCTGTTTTAGTGACCTACAGAACTATATACCTATATTACACTCCCCATTAGTAAATGATTGTTCAAAGCATCAAGACACATAAACCAGGTTCCCATTAAATCAGATTAATTGATAATCATGAACATGAATGAAATGAACATTCACAAAAAAGATTTCGTACAGGGATGACTGTCTGGAATCTGCCTGAAATACATGTTGATAGGAAGTGTTGGAACTAGACAGCATTTAAATGACCAATAGCAAATTAAATTCAACATCATTCATTCTTTTAAGCAGGGTACAACTTATCACAAACTAGACATCTGAATAAATTGCAAATGAAAACAAATATATTGCTATAGAGCTAGACTTTGCTATACGAATGGGGCTTTTTCACGGTTTTCTTTTTTTTGTACGTTTGGCAGAGCAGGTAAATAAACATTTGCTCATTACTCTAGTACCACGTCTGCTTTAGAGAGCATGCAATTAAGAGACATTAAGTGAAGCTTGCATTTAACAACACTGTGTGTGTATTATAACTGTTAAGATGCTCCTCGCACAATGATCATGACCAGGAAGTCCTCTTCCGTTTTGGCAAGAGCTTTCGCAGAAGAATCTAAGAACTGCTGAGAGAAATCACATGGTGGAAATGCATGCAGGACCCCAGTGTTGTCCTTATCTCTACTGCCCCCGACGGGTAAACTGATGACCCCGGCAGCCTGCTTTTGCTTCAGGTACGAAACTAAATTGCGCAGGGGCCTCTGCGTCGATGCTGCTGGGTCCGAAGACGAAGTCTCCTCGGAGCTGCCCGGAACCGCCAGTAGAACCGCATACCCGCCTGGGCCTGCAACTTTGATGCGCCGAGATACTTCATCAATCTTGGGCTGGTCAAGGCGAAGGCGTTGTGTGATGCGTAGTTGTGTGACTTTACCGCCCGTGCTGCCGTCGATGAGGAGACTGTTGGCAACGCTCAGGTCCCCCTCCAGAAGGTGCATGCTGGCTGGGAAATTACTGTTTTTTAGGAGCAGCATGCCATTCCAGGCCATGCTCAGCTTCCCCCCTGCATCCTGCTTTGAAGCCTGGCTGCTTTTGGAGCTGCTCTCAGATCGGTCCCTCTTGGAGGCACCTTTGGCTGAATCGCCCGCTTTGCGCTTTCTCTCCGCAGGACTCGCGCCGACACTAGACTCTGAGAGAGTGCTGCTGCTTTTAATGCGCTTTTCACCAGGGCCTCTGTCCAGGCTGCTGTGGCTCTCTCGTGCAGGGGACACACGGTCTGCTCTCGTTGGCCGCTCAGAGTCACTGAATCGTCCATCTCGACTGCTCCCTCCTGGGCTGCCCTCAAGGGATGGCGGTCTGCGACGTCGGGCCGCCCACTCGCTGCTGCTGTCAGGTGAACACTCCAGATGTCTCCCATCCTCCATGAGCCGTCGCTTGCGTGCTGCATCCCTGCCTGGCAGCTCCCGCTCCAGTGACCACGCCTCTCGCCGTCGCTCGCGCTCCAAGTGTTCGAGAGGCTCAAATGCAGGCGTTCGTACACGTTCACGAATGGCAGGCACAGGCCATTCAGCCCCAGCATACAGTTCTCGTTCTCTGAAGTGCAGTGGTGGGGGAGTTCGTTCTCGGACCCTGATGGCCTCAGGGGTGGCGCGATGGACGAAAGACTCAGCCACGATTTCATAGTGTTGCAAAGGGAGGGGCTGCAAGAACTGCTGCTGGTAGCGGTGCTCCGTGTCAGCAAAGTCCACCCTCAGCCTCCTGTCAGGACCCCCGAGGGGAAATCCACGCATATGTGTGCAGGCCGCCTGAGCGGCATCCAGGCTTTCATACTGAATATAAGCCCACGTGTCCCCTTTTCTGTAGTCTATAGTCCTGATAGTGCCGAAGCGGTCAAATTCCCTGGCTAACGCAGTCAGAGGCACCCAAGGTCCAAGACCACCCACCCATAAGCGTGTGGTGGGGGTGGCTTTGCCATAGCCAATCTTTATGGGGTTTCGGCCCACAACTTTCCCAGACATGCTAATTTTTGCTCTATGGGCCATGTCCAAGTTTTCAAATTTAAGAAAGCCATAGGTGCTGCTCTGGCCCCGACTTGGTCTTTTAATGTCCACCTCTGTGATGGTCCCAAATCGTTCAAAAGCTCTCCTCAAATCATTTTCAGTCACAGTAATATCCAAATTACCCAGAAATAGTGTGCGGTTGGCTCTCTGGTCGTCCTCTGGAGAGATAAAGTCCTCCTCGCGGAAAGGAGCGGCCCGCTCCGCGATGTACGCGGGCCGCGCCCTGGCTTCATAAAAGGCAAATTCTCTCTCTCTTTCAAGCTCTCTCGGTAAAGGCGGGGGTGGGGGAGGAGGGAGCCGACCCAGCGCTAACTGCTGTAACCGGTAGTCTCTGTAACCCAGACCGGTTGGAGAGAGCGGCCTCTGGGTATGCAAATGTCTATGGCCTGCTACAACAGAGAAATGGTCCTTATCTACGGGAGATCGACTCCTCCTCCTATTCAAGTAGACTGCCTCAATTTTCAAAGGACGGTCGTAGAGCACCAGCCGGCCTCGCGCGTGCTTTGCCGCTCTCGCATCATCCGGTCTCCTAAAGTTGACGAATGCGATTCTCTCGTCGTTGACTCGGCTGATTTTAACACTCACGTCGCCAAATTTTTTGAATTCGTGAAAGAGTCCGTCCTCGATTTCCTCGTCGCTCAGCTGGGAGCCGAGCTCGCTGATTTTTAAAGTTTTGTACTCACTTTCGTTTGTGGGAAGCGGGGCGCGCGACTCTCCGCGCGAGTTGGTGCGCGCGGCCGCCTCTAAGGACAGGCTCGAGGCGTGATTCTTGCCGCTCGAGCTTGCAACAGGGCTAGTGTAACTGTGGTTATTTCCAGTCCGACTGGTGACATGTCCGTCAAAATCCCGTCCATCTCTTTTATCCCCGATCAGTCCCCGTCGTGCGGAGCCCCCTTCGCTTTTAGATGTACTATTGCCGTTGTTGCTTCCGCCGCCAGAAATCGAGATAACCCCCATTTTCTTACTGGTCGGATGGCTTCCTCCCCTGTCTCGTATATCATCCAAGGCCCTTGAACGCTTTTTCACCGGCGACCGCTCTTTCCCTTTCATGTTAGATAGCCTCTGGCTTTGCGCGGCTAACAAAACACTTTTGAACAGTTATGCTACCGCAATGTCGACGAATTTACACGAGCAAGTGCTTAATTTGTTCAGTGTCCCTGCGGCAAAACAACCGCATACGCCATCTTGTCAGGACTAAAACACGACCCGCCCATCGACTTTGATTGGTTTGAATCTCTGAGAAACGTCAACGCCATTGGTTGTTCTGTCTGTCCATCTAGACTTCCCGCACGGAGCCCAGTCTCGCTGTACACCATTTTAGCTTCAAACGCCACATATTTACCATTGCCACAAGAGACGTGACATTTAACTAATCTTCACTTAAGTTGTGAGGACATGCACTGAAAATATTATATATGCTTCTGCACTCTATTCCATTTTTTTTATCAACATGTTAAATCCACAAATCATGCAGGGAAAAAATATTCTGAAATTAGTGTTGATGCTTTTAGTTGATGCTAAAGGCTGGGAATTTCTTTTCATTTAATTCATTCCTTACATTTTGTTTAAATTACGAATGTAGGCCTATAATGTTTATAAAATGTGAGTTGTCAAATAAATGTAACTAAAAACAAATCTCGTAGTTCACTTTATGTCCAACAGATGGTGATGTTTGCCTGTTCCATTGGGGTGAAGGGAAGGGTCACGTTAGTGTAAACGTGAAGAACAGCTTTTTTTAACATGTTGGTTCACTGTAGATTTAGCATTGTCAGCGAGATTCACCCTTGTAAAAATAAATGCATTTTAAATAATAAAGCTTTTCAGAACTGGTGGAATATATGCTTGCCAAATAACCAAAAGAAAAATTTAAAATGTTATGTAAAAGAACAGTTAAGTACTAAAAGGAATACATTTTATTTAAGACAACAAGCAGATGCTCTAATCCGAAAGTACATGCAAAAAGTGCTTGAGCTTCACAATTGTTACTTCTTTGGTCAACAGACAGCAAGCAATTTATCTGTTAGGAAAATAAGTGCTTACGAATAATTCTGTCTAATGCAAGCCTAAAGGTTAAAGACACAGAAATGCACAAGCTAACATATATGTTATTTTTATCTATTAAAGTATAATTAATTTACTGCCAACATGTCACTTAAAGCTGCCTAATTTTCCTTCTGCAGGTCGATATTTTTCACATATCTCAACTTAAAGTTGAATAACTTAAATCTAAATCAATAAAATGTTGTGTACTTATCTTGTGTGTCTGTCCTTTCACAGCCTACATCATTTAGCACACTATACTCTCTCTTTGTACATTTGTCATCCCGCTAGTTTCATTGTACTTCACATCTATTTAGTAATGCTTCTCTTGTATTCCTGAACTGTATTTCTTTATCACATCCTTTAATCTGGGATTTAATCAGTTTGCATGTGTAGCTGGAGCTGGCTCCACTTTTTTGAAAGATCAGGCTGGAATTCGAAGCTGTGGGTGTGTGGGGAGTTTCTGTCAGCCTCCCTTTCTATCCTCTATTGGAACCACATGTCAACTCTCTCCAAAACACGGCACGGTTCGCTAAACTGGCATTTAATGTGATCCAGCGTTTCTGTCATCCTCAATGCACAAAGGAAAGAAGCAGCAGGAAATGCTTGCCCCAAAGCAACTGTCGATCTGTTTCAATTTTGAGAATTAGGAAAATGAGAGAAGCTTTGAAAATCCTGTCACTGCAGCTTTTTTCATCTTGAACAATTTTGTCTTATGTGTCATCTAAATTAAGTGAATCACCCTGAAAGAGTGGCTGGCAGGATTGGCATGCAGTCATTAAACTCAGATGGAGCTGAATAACCCATGGCTGGGTCACAGAAATGCTCTCCTCAAGGCTGTTTGGCACTTGTATCAACAGAACACTTTAACTTCAGCTATTTCCCACAGGATTGGGATTCCAAAAACACATCAAACATGATCAACTGTAGCACGCCTGTTGTTCTTCAGAAGTTCTGTTCCTATGAGTGTCATAGTTGTTGTTAAAAGTCAATGTCACAGGAATTGAATGTTCAAAAAAAAAAAATGTTTTTTGTATTATATATATATATATATATATATATATATATATATATATACGTTTTTACCAGGCAGAATTTGAATTTGACTGATTCAACTAGTTATTTAGGCCCAGGTGCATTTCAAACCATGCAAAAAAAAAATTAATGCAATACATCCACTACATGGTCATGGAGTCTGCATTGCTTTTCAAGTAATGTTTTGATTTTTGTCCAAGACCCTTGAATTAAACAGTAGCATAACATGTAAGTTGATTCATAATTCATTAGGCATTGTAGTTCTGTCCAGCTGTCAGACCTCAGACCTAAGGTTGATGGAAAAACCTTGGAATCCATCATCAGTCTGAGAGTGAGGGGTTTGTGGTTTTGTATTAGCAGGGCTGTCACATGCTGCAGATGTATCGGGTGACATACGACAGCCTTTACATACAGCAAAACATACATTTAAAATGACATATTAGATGGCCATGCACTCTCTCAAATACAAAACGTTTCACCTTACATGTAAACGTTTATCTATACTAGCCTTAATAAATTGGCACACTAAATATTTTTTTGTATTAGAATTTTATGGGATGTTTGAATGGATCCAAAAGTTGCCTGAGCCTGTACAGTTATCTATGTTATATTACATATTCTGGATATTATTAAAATTATTAAAAATCTTGTCAATATCATAATTATTTTCATGGATGGTGGTATTAAAATTCTGTACAATTTTGTCTAAATAAATAAAAAATAAAACAATAAAAACTCAAATTAATAATTTTAAATGCAGAAAGTACATCTGGGCAGCATAACATTATAATGTTCAGGATGAAAAATGGGTGTTCTAAAGATTGCATTTAACAGTGTTAAGTTTTTAAAGATTACCTTTAAGTGAGTGTTACATAATGGCTAAGTTAATCTAAATCAAAAAATTTGAGAAATGAGCATGTACAAGTTGATATTTAATATAGTCCAAAAAAATGTTTTTTTTAATATCAGCTAATATGATAACCGATACGATACCAAAATATCATGCATCCTTAATTAAAATAAGCAATTAGCAACATAAAATGCAATCTATATGCAGAGATGCTTAAATCCTGCCATGATTTACCAGAAGCACAAATTTATTTTGTTGTTTTTAGTGGTGATGTATTTGAATGCACAAAGTCGGAAAATGTAAAATCATTTATTGACTGGGGCTACATATATGGGGCTAAACCACTGCATACACTGATACTATGAGATTAACATTAACATACTTAAATAAACATGTTGCACATCCTGTTGCACAAAATTACATAATTTTTACAATTTAAGTATCCCTGGAATAATTTTACATTAAGGCAAGTTGTGTGCAAAGCCCATGGCTCATAGAATTTCAACAAAAACACAAACAAATGAGATGCTTCCTTAGGGAAACAGATCAACACAAAAAAGTCCCGGCATAAAATGTTTCTTTGCAGTGAAAACATCTGGGAGCCTTCAAAAAAAGAGATATGTACATTGAGCATTAAGAAAGTGTCTTTCAGTTGTTGGTTTACGAGTAACACTAACATGCCGGTATGTGCAGGCATGCTAACTTGTTGGCTCAGTGATGTCAAGACAATCGCAGTTGCAGCTGCATGGTCATGTCGGCCAGGATAACAGGCTCCCCGGGTCTTTGGTTTTCATGCGCAGGGCCACCAGGCCTGAGGGCTTGTATTCAGACTCTGGTCCGGGCTCAAAGGAATGGGCCCCCAGGCTTCCTGGGAAGCCATGGAGTGAGTATATCCCATTAATGCTAGGGTGGTGAGGTGGGTGATGATGATGATGGCCTGCAGATGCAGACATACCCATGAGCCCTGGTAGGTTCCCGTGAGGATGGGGATAAGGGGTCATACAGGATGATGCCATGTTTTCCAGTCCCAAAACACAACCACTGGCTGCTCCACCTGCACCTCCCGTCCCCGCGCTGCTTGGCCATAGGTTATTTTGCATCTGTGTGGACAGAAAAAAAAACACACACACACACACACATACACACAAACATTAGTGACTTATTCTAATATGTATTAAAATTGATGATAATGTTTGCCTGTTATCTGAAAAAAAGAGTTACTTTGAAATCTTTTTAAAAATATTTTTACATGTAATTAACACATATACAAATTAAATGTTTAATGCTAGCCTGTGCCACATGGCAAGATTGATGGCATTACACCAACAGAAAAAAATAAAACGAAATTAAATCTGTGTTTCTGACAACAAATATAAATCATAATATGCACTACCTCCAGTCAAACCAAAGCAACTCCCCTGTGTGTGTTGAAATACTAGACAAAAACTACATTTTTGTTCTCAAGCTCTGTCTTATGCTCTCTTTGTGTTCTGTGTTTGTGTACCTGGTATGAGTCGGAGCGAGGGAGAAGGGAGATATCGTATGTAGCAGCAAAATGGTTTCGCACCTCTTGCATCTTCCCGTAACGCTCTCTTTTCCTCCATTTGGCCCGTCTGTTTTGGAACCACACCTGGGGAAAGAATATCCGTATATTAAACTTAATTATTGATTGATTTAAATATAGGCCCTGTCGAAATGGAACACTCTGCCTTTCAATGCATTCAATGCATTTAATAGATGAGGAACATTAATATTACTGAAAGCATTTAAATCTGTGCAAAGAAATAGTGTATGCTGTAGCATTTGAAAAAGGTTAGTATATTAACCAGATATTTTATCCATATTATTAATTACACTAAGTTTATTTTAAAGAAATGAATACTTTTCATTTAGCAAGGATGAATTAAATTGATCAAAACTGACCGTCAAAACTTTGACAATGTTACAAAAAAATTATATTTCAAGTTCTTTTGAACTTTATGTTCATCACGATTTCCACAAAAATATTAAGTAGTGTTATTAACATTGATAATAACAAGAAATATTTCTTGTGCACCAAATATTATTACAGCCTAGAATGATTTCTGAAGGATCATGTGACACTGAAGACTGGAGTAATGACTGCTGAAAATTCAGCTTTGCATCAATTACACTTTAAAATATATTGAAATAGAAAACAATTATTTAATGTAATTATATTTAATAGTATTACTGTTTTTACTGTATTTTTCATCAAATGAATGCAGCCTTTGTGAGAATAATATACTTTAATATATATTTTAATAATACCTATTATTTTAATAATACCAGTTTATATAATCTTACATTACTCTTACATGAATAACTAACAACCTGTCCCAGGAGGTGGAGTCTAACACACCTGCACTCTTGCCTCCGTCAGCTCCGTCCTCAGTGCCAGCTGTTCCCGTGCATACACATCTGGGTAATGTGTCTTCTGAAAGACCTTCTCCAGCTCCTCCAGCTGAAAGGTGCTGAAAGTTGTCCGGTTTCGCCGTTTCTTGTTCTTGATTGAAAGGTCGATGGAGTCAGTGATGGAGTCTCCAGTCAGCCCGTTGGACGGCTCTTTCAGTTTTCCACAACACTCTGAGTCTAGAGCGGGATATCCAAGGGCCTTGGGTACGGGCTTATCTCCTGCTGACAACAAGGCTGAATGAGTGCTGCTATGCGCAAAGTTACAGAGTTAGTATTTGCCACTAAATGCAGATCAGTGACCATTTAGTTTTAAATAAGCAAATGTAAATACTGTGCACAGGCTAATTAAACGTCATTTTCTGTGTTTGCTTTTCTTGTTTAGCCTAAATATTTTTCCTCACCTGATTTAGTTAGCTGGCAGGGCTAAATGACCTCAGACTAACCACAAACACATGTCAAATATATGTTTCTGCTGACAACAAGGCTGAATGAGTGCTGCTATGCGCAAAGTTACAGAGTTAGTATTTGCCACTAAATGCAGATCAGTGACCATTTAGTTTTAAATAAGCAAATGTAAATACTGTGCACAGGCTAATTTTCTGTGTTTGCTTTTCTTGTCTTCTAAACTGTAGTTAATGACTTATTTATGTTTAGCCTAAATATTTTTCCTCACCTGATTTAGTTAGCTGGCAGGGCTAAATGACCTCAGACTAACCACAAACACATGTCAAATATATGTTGTAATTAAACAGCAAACAGAATTATAAAGTTTAAAAATTAAATTAATACAAATTGCACAAAAAACTTAATACAAATTCTACAAAAAAATTAAATATGAAGTAGCACAACTTAAAGTACTTAAATATAACTTTGCAAAAAAAAACGCATATTGTTGATCTGTGATAAATTCATAGCAATCACTGTCTATGTTACTGTAAATGTGTAAGTTATTTTGTTCATCAACAGTGGTTGTGTAATGTACTTCCTGACTGTCCTGAAATCAGTGTCGTAACTTTGTTTTAAAAAGTGGATGGGACAGGGGAGGGGGGGGATTCATAGATACGCATTAAACATTAGTATTCCTAAACAGTCTAGTGCTAGAATTTTTACTATAAAATTATGCCTATGCCTGAAATAATGGTGTGCAACAGGTAAATAAAATCTAAAATATCTTTGCTTTTTATACATAGTTGACCATTAAACCAACATTGTACACAGAAAAAGTTTCTCTTTCAAATATTCAGTCTATTTTTGAGTATTCCACGAACTTTAAAAAAGTATAATAATAACGCACACTGTCAGCAGAGCTTACTGTTTTGATTAAGCTTGAAACTTGAGTTTGAATGGCTCGAGTTAAAATCAATTTTTGTAAGCTCAAACGCTTGCTTGAATAATACAATAAAAATGCATGTCATTACAAAATCCAGCTACTACAATATGATGGGTTAAAAGGTTATAAGAAATGAAGGAATTTTGACAAAAAAAAATTCTAATCACTATAATAATAAACATCATTCAAACAGGATGTGTTTGCTTTTCTCAGGAGAATATAAAGGATGAGAAGAGCTCTTTTAAAAGGAATAAACCAGTCATAGTCCTTTACCCTTAAGAGGGTGTTTTTTCTTTCATGACTACTTTTATCTAAAATAGAAACTTTTTATGTGTCTTCTGTGTTACAATTTTTCTTTTTTATCTAAAAGAGAAAACTGTAATGCAATATTTGTATCCCTAATTTTCATGAAAAAGAAACCAAAACATGGTGTTTGTAGTTGAATATGTAGTGGGATTCTCTTTTTCAAACATCTTATTGAGATTTCTCAAAAGTTGCTCAAGTATGTCATTGAACAAGAGTGATTCATTCTGTGCATGACCATAGGTCAATAAAATGATGCAAGAGTAAAAGCCTTGTTCTTGAGACATAATACAAAACAATTATTATATTAATAGTTTTTAATTGGCACATCTACAGTTGGCTCATAGTATTGTTTGACAATGACAGTGCTGTTTGGTTTCCTCACAAGAACTCCACTGTAATCCATCTGAATGAGAGTGAAATTATAATTTAGATGTTTCTGTAGATATTAAAAACATCTGACCTTGGGTCGTAAAAATCCCCAGGCAGATTGCTTTAAAGTTCAATGTCTCTCTTTGCTTAGAGATTAAGTAGTAGAAATGAATTATGGTTCTTCCTAATTTAATTTTCACCAAAACAGAGGAAACCATTTACTAGAGCTACATAACTTTAGAGTGATGGAATTATAAGGCATATAGGCCTATTTGATCTCTTCCAGTAGTACAAGAACTAAAGAAAATGCTAAACTCGGTTTTAGGAGCATGAGGCTAGTTATATACTGTACTGTGATTTATTTAGTGAACAATAAAGAGCTAAAGAACACATCCATTTCATTTTATTTGAGTTAAATATCTCCCAAAATGCCTCCACTGGCCTACAAAAGATAGATAAATTCATAAAGATTAAGTTTGTAATATTGTAAACATGACAAAAAATGGTCTTTCTAAAAATATAAAGAGAGTGCAATGAACTATCAGAAACAAGTTCGACGCTTTAACCCCGGCACATATGGCAGAAATGACCCTGCGCTTTCTTCCCTCTTAGCACGGCCAGCTAAAAGACAAAACAGGACTGAGAGTCTGGCTTTGAAATGTAGTATTGGCCTCTTATTATTAAAGTGTTGTCTTCAGCACTCGTTCGTTCCGACCAATCAATTCCAGGCTGTATTTGTTCGACACACCCCCTTAATGTAAGGTCCCCAATTAAAAGGCTGGAGAACATATAACTACTGGCTCAGCACGTCTCGTGATTTTAAAACAAATAGTCTAAGTTATTTTAGAAATTTAGAAATAAAATTAATTTAGAAATAAACTTGCTTGTTTAGTCATAGAAAAATGCCAAATATTGACATAATCGTTTATAAATGAAACGAATTCAGAATCCAAGGGCATCCTAGTAGCCTAAGTTCTCCAAATGAAGGAAAGTCAATATTCGTGTTTAAAATGTGTGACAGAAGAGTAAGGTAGCCTATTTAAACGCAAACAAGAATGACCAGGCCTCAAAACTGCGCACACTAATACATGGCGACAGATCTGAATGCTGTTTATCTGACGATTGTTTCTGACGTCGCAATATTTTATGGCCTGCTATATAAACTGAGACTTGCGGTTGAAATAAATTGTTCGAGCTCTATAATGAGGAAAGAAAACGTTAAATCACAACGGTTCAAAAAGGGATTTAACCTCCTGTTTAAATAGTTCTTTATTGTGCTAGAGCTTTATAAATGCTTTTTAAATCATAATGTGGCAAAGAGCGAGGAGGAAATGCGCTACGGATATTGTGAGCAGGTCTGAACTTAAATTACTAAGAGACGCAGCTCTTACAACCTGAATCATTCAGCTGTTATAAAATAATAATAATAATAATAACTTATTTATAACTTGTTATAATAGCTTATTTAGAGTGAATCATTTTAAGACCAAAATAATATAAATATATTAAATTATTAACTAAGCTATTTTGACACCAATTATACAAAATAATAATAATTAATTAATTAAGTTTGTAATTAGAGCTAGAAAAAAATAGAAAAATAGTTTTGAAGCCTAATAGGACCCCTTAAAGTAGCCTATACCTAAAGTGTAAATAAAATAAGTAATACAAATAACGCTTTATTTTGTGGTTATTTAAAACAATCTATGAACATTGCAACGAATACACGGATCTGACTTTAATGTCGTGAATTTTTTTTCATTTCTCCAAAGAACCAAAAATGGTTCTTAATAATGCTTAATAATGCTGAACCTAAAGGATTTTTAGGAGACATAACTTTAGAGTGATGGAATTATAAGGCATATAGGCCTATTTGATCTCTTCCAGTAGTACAAGAACTAAAGAAAATGCTAAACTCGGTTTTAGGAGCATGAGGCTAGTTATATACTGTACTGTGATTTATTTAGTGAACAATAAAGAGCTAAAGAACACATCCATTTCATTTTATTTGAGTTAAATATCTCCCAAAATGCCTCCACTGGCCTACAAAAGATAGATAAATTCATAAAGATTAAGTTTGTAATATTGTAAACATGACAAAAAATGGTCTTTCTAAAAATATAAAGAGAGTGCAATGAACTATCAGAAACAAGTTCGACGCTTTAACCCCGGCACATATGGCAGAAATGACCCTGCGCTTTCTTCCCTCTTAGCACGGCCAGCTAAAAGACAAAACAGGACTGAGAGTCTGGCTTTGAAATGTAGTATTGGCCTCTTATTATTAAAGTGTTGTCTTCAGCACTCGTTCGTTCCGACCAATCAATTCCAGGCTGTATTTGTTCGACACACCCCCTTAATGTAAGGTCCCCAATTAAAAGGCTGGAGAACATATAACTACTGGCTCAGCACGTCTCGTGATTTTAAAACAAATAGTCTAAGTTATTTTAGAAATTTAGAAATAAAATTAATTTAGAAATAAACTTGCTTGTTTAGTCATAGAAAAATGCCAAATATTGACATAATCGTTTATAAATGAAACGAATTCAGAATCCAAGGGCATCCTAGTAGCCTAAGTTCTCCAAATGAAGGAAAGTCAATATTCGTGTTTAAAATGTGTGACAGAAGAGTAAGGTAGCCTATTTAAACGCAAACAAGAATGACCAGGCCTCAAAACTGCGCACACTAATACATGGCGACAGATCTGAATGCTGTTTATCTGACGATTGTTTCTGACGTCGCAATATTTTATGGCCTGCTATATAAACTGAGACTTGCGGTTGAAATAAATTGTTCGAGCTCTATAATGAGGAAAGAAAACGTTAAATCACAACGGTTCAAAAAGGGATTTAACCTCCTGTTTAAATAGTTCTTTATTGTGCTAGAGCTTTATAAATGCTTTTTAAATCATAATGTGGCAAAGAGCGAGGAGGAAATGCGCTACGGATATTGTGAGCAGGTCTGAACTTAAAATAACTTGAGACGCAGCTCTTACAACCTGAATCATTCAGCTGTTATAAAATAATAATAATAATAAAAATAACTTATTTATAACTTGTTATAATAGCTTATTTAGAGTGAATCATTTTAAGACCAAAATAATATAAATATATTAAATTATTAACTAAGCTATTTTGACACCAATTATACAAAATAATAATCAATTAATTAATTAATTAAGTTTGTAATTAGAGCTAGAAAAAAATAGAAAAATAGTTTTGAAGCCTAATAGGACCCCTTAAAGTAGCCTATACCTAAAGTGTAAATAAAATAAGTAATACAAATAACGCTTTATTTTGTGGTTATTTAAAACAATCTATGAACATTGCAACGAATACACGGATCTGACTTTAATGTCGTGAATTTTTTTTCATTTCTCCAAAGAACCAAAAATGGTTCTTAATAATGCTTAATAATGCTGAACCTAAAGTGTTGAAGAACTTTATTTTTAGGAGTGTATCGTCTTATTTTTTTCATTTCTCCAAAGAACCAAAAATGGTTCTTAATAATGCTTAATAATGCTGAACCTAAAGGATTTTTAGGAGTGTATCGTCTTATAAATGCTTATTTTTCAGATGTTGGTGTATATATATATATATAAAGGATAAAGATAGAGATTATTATATATTTAGAACTTAAGTAGACGTTAATAAATGACATATTGAACAGGCCATTTCCAAAGTGTTTAACAAGTTAAATTCCAGATCGAACGAAATGCTGATTGACCGAAAAGACTAAATTAATACATTAATTAATTATTGTGCTGAATCTAGCCCATCTCTAATCAGCACAAACAACACCACCTTGCTTGCTGTGACATCATTTTAAGTGTAAATGTAATGATATATACATTTCCAATTGCCATATAATAATGAATGATGAATTTCAGTCACACGTAGTAGCCTACTCTAGTTGTTTTGGGCCTCTCAAGTGGAGTATTTAAAAAGTTGTCTAAACGGTTTGATTATTCCTCTTATTATGTCATTATTATTGTTGTTGTTATTACTACATAGAACCTACATCGTTTACAGTCTAGACGTTTGGAGGTTTTCCTCGCATTCAACTGAACTAGTTTTCACTCACCATTAGAATTAGTCTCATAAAATGACGAGTTCTTCTCAGTGATCGAAGAAGGTTTTTGGTCCTGGTTCATATTCTCCAAATACTTTGTATGATTTCCAGGCGAGGCGCGGGGAGTTGAAGCGCTGACGCCGTGCGTAAAGTCCGCGGAGCCGCCGTCAGTGTAGCGTCCCATAAAAAACTCATGTCGATGCGCTAGAGTAAGATGCGGAGACTTTTGGAGGTCGTCACACTGAAAGAAAGCGCCGGAATCATGCTCCAAGCCCGGTGAATTCTCCGGCGTGATCCTGTTTGGAGCCGAGGAGAAAGACAGACAACTCTCAGTCTCCATCACCTCGTCCCGAGCACGAGAGCGCAAACAGTGAACTAGGATGCTATTAACAGGGGACAAGTTAGTGTATAAGCGAGAGAGATGGCGATTTTTTCCACCTCTTCTGGGTGGGATTTAGAGTATCAGAAACAAAGATCCGTCAACTGGGAGGGAGAGAGTGAGACAGCGGTCTGATTCAATACGCCCAAAAATCAATCACGTGCGGCTCCTGTCAATTAACCATTAATCTACAAAACATTTTCTCTTAATAAAACAAATTGTTATGAGAGTTGGGAGAATGTGATTAAATCGAGTAATTGTGACTGGCTGAGCACTTATAACTTTAAATCATCAAAGGTAGTCTACTGAATCCAGATTTGTTGGATTTTGATCCAGGAACATTTTAACGCGAGACGCTGCCGGTCGCTGTCAGAACTCAATCAAAGCAGGGATCAACCCAGTATAAGAATAAAAAATAAACAAATCCCCTGAATGATTCCGATTATGATATATCACGTCTACAACGATTACAAAATTAAGTGGTTTTGAATTTACGTATTACTTTAAATCATAGGTATGCAACAGCTGAAAAGCCATTATGGTTTTTACCCTGTGGTAGGCTTTATAATTCAGAAATTACTCTGCGTTTTTGTTTTATTATCGAGATGTAATGCGATGTATAAGCACAATTGTAATAAAATACGCGGGAAATAAATCATTGTAATTGGATTTACATATGGAAACAACCTTGTGAAATAATCACAAGGCCTAAGCAACAGCAAAAATAGTAAACTGCCGCTGACTGAGATTTAAGAATTTTAGACAGGGGGAAAAACTTTTTATAGACTAGCCTACTATTGATATGTATTCCTATATTCTAGTCAGTGTTTTAAATTAAGATGTATGTATAGCCTAATACAAACCAAAGTCATTATTTTATACAAGGCAACATTAAAGTTATGATTATTTTTACGTCAAAAGGAAGTTTTCGAATATATCTTACATAACCCTAAACCTGTCACAACTACTAATTAAACGTATTTCATAGCAAACATCACATTTATTTCGTTTTAGAAAACGCAAACATATTTATAAACTACCAGATGAACGAATTCAGCGGGTTTATGGTTAGAGCATCATTAACGCACATTAATAAAAAGTATAGCCTACAAACGCTGATCCAGTTGCAACCCTGTAAAACACGAAGTAAATGTGCAATCTTCTTAGAGAATAAAGTTCATTAATATGATGATCATCAACTCACATGTTACTTCTTTCCACTTCTACTATAGCAAAAGCACAAAACGCCCATATAATAGATACAGGAAAAAACACACATAAAGCAACCCGCCATCTATCCAATGTACAGTATATTAGGATAGTATCACTTTGTTCTTTTTTTTTTGTAGAGGTTTGAATCATTAACGATTAATTTTAATAAGTCTGCTGTATCCATTACCTTTTTTTCTACTCGCTCTGTGGTTCTTAAAATACATTTAAAAAGTCCAGAAGAAAAGTTAAAACGTTTATCCTTTTATCATATTTATATATCGTTTATGTATTAAATTAAGTGACTTTTTGTTGGTAACTCCAAAGTTTAAGGCAAAATATTGTAAACTGCAGACTGTCCACCGAACTGATCCAAGCAAAAAATAAAAATGAATAAATAATAGTAATAAAATAAAATAAAACAAAATCACCTTCCATAACTTTGTGGAGCTGCTTGAGTTTGGACATCCAGAGATCAAAGAAATTCAAAACTGTTGATATTGACGTGGCAATTTAAATCTCTGCAAAAGATCTCTAAACAGAGAGCACTTAAACGACTCGCGCTGCTCTCCAAGATGTCTAACAGTTTTTTGGACATATGTAAGGCCGCATGGAGCCAACCTGACGGACAAGTGTGTAAACATCCAGTCCATTTGCGTCGGTCAGCCCACATAAGAACCGTTTCATTCAATGATGAATTCACCAAGCAAACAGACTTTGGGAATACGGAAGATATCATATCACTTCCTCTGATAAGTTGTTTTCTTGCACTGCAAACTGCATACTCTTCTGAAAACTAAAATCAAATACCGATTCACTTCTACTGGCGTCGTATATTCTTCGTCAAAACTAAACATAGGCTAAATCTCATTCTATCTTTTGAAAGTCAGTATAGGGTTTGGGTACACTCTAAAAAATGCTGGGTTGTTTCAACCCAACTTTGGGTCAAATATGGACTAACCCAACCGTTGGGTTAAATTTTTACGTTACATTTTTAACCCAAAAGTTGGGTTAGTCCATATTTGACCCAAAGTTGGGTTGAAACAAAAAAGGAACATTATCTGTAAAGAGTAGAGAGAGTAAATTATGTTTGCTACTAAAAAAAAACAAAAAAACATGCGTAAACCCATGAGCAAATAGCCCACATTTAAGCCGTGCACAGACGAGATGAGGATGAAGAAGAGAGAGTTAATCAAAAGGACATGACAGCTGTTGTGCCGAATTCTGCACCCCTGCCAGATTATGCACCCCTTCATTGAAGTCGCTACTTGATTGCCTAATCCCAACCAGACCCCTAATCTTAACCCCTCCCCCACACCTACTCCTAAACCTACCAATACTAGGGGATGCATAATCTGGCAGGGTGCAAATTTCGGCACAACAGCTGAAACATGGGCCAAAACTGGAGACCCTCTGAATAGAACAGGACCACCGCACGCTGTCTATGAAACTAACTACAGCCATTGATATAGGCCTACACGCATGTGCGGTGGAGTTTAGTAAGCGATTACAGAAAGTTGAGAGAGTAACAGAGATAATTCATTCTCAAAACAATACAGCTCGTTTAATGCAGCGAGAGAATGCGTGTGTAATTATTTAAAAATAATTACTGACTAGCCTATATATAGGCCTGCCTACTGCGGGGCAAGCTATGTGAATTCAGTTATTTGGGACACTTTTTGCCATTGAGATGATTAAGGCAAAATATCTTACCAATTGCAGGGTTTGGAGTTAAAAGTCCAATTACAAATGTAAAATTTTGTCTATATCAGTGGTTTGTATGCTGGTTTCAAACTTAAAGAGAGCACTCTTGTGCAGGCTATTAGAATGATTTTGTGTTTTTTTAAAAACCGCTTATGGCTACACTGGACACGACAAAGCGACTGCTGAAAACTCATTTATGCTTCGTGTCAGAAGTAGCGCTGGTGCGTGGAGTGCGTCAGAAATAGGACTGGGCATCAGTTTTCTGATGAGAATTTATCGTGTCGCATCGCGTAGCGCAGGCCCCATCTAGTCATTAATCGCTCAAATTTAGACAGTTTCCAAAAGTGTCATTTTTATAAAAGCTATTGGTTAAATAAAAAAAAACCTGACACTGGGATAATTCTGTCAGGGTCAGGACAAAAAAACAAACACAAATGTCAGGTTGGGTATCACATTTTAAAATATAAAAAATACATAATATATAAATATATATGGCACAATATATAAAAATGTGACACTCAACCCATTGGGTGTGACAACATGCCCCACGATTGTGGAATGTTGTAAACCTTTCTTTAACTGTACCCAGCTAAGGTTTGTGCCTACAGAATTTGATTGACTTTCAAAAATAATCCTACCATGAGAAATACTCACTGGAGAAAAAAGTGTGACACCTAGCCCCGCTCTCCCCTACTCTCTGTGCTTCAATACATCTTTGTTAATGTGAATACTGTAGCCTGTGCACCCTGGACACTTTTCTTGTGTGTGTGATCCAGTAGCCTCCGCCAAGTTTTGTGAATCTGGCTCATGGTTAAATGGCTGAAATCCCATAGAGAACATTTCACTCTAGCCTGAGGTGATGGTGTGTTCTTGAAATAAAAAACCCAGTGGAGAATATGTACTCCAGAAGACACATTTAGAGAAAATATCAACTCTAGTTGGCGGAATGGCCTTAGGAACCAGGAATTTGGTGTTGACAGTGTTGGAGTGCACACAACCACAGCCATATCATTTGCATTTGCAGAAAAGCAGACTAAAAGCTGATGCTCTCCTCTTCTTCAATAGCTTGCTGTTATCTATATGACAACTGGCAATGCAGAAAGGAATATGCCCTCCTTTTTTGATCAAATGGATCAGTGGCCATTTTAGAGCAAGGACTACAGAAAAAAAAAGTTCAGAATATAATGTAGTTCAGAAAATCATGTAGTTCTTGCATGAGTGATTGCAGCAGATCTCCTCCTCCTATGAATTCCAATTATAATCTACAACTGAATATATGATATGAGACTAAATTCTGAAATGGAAAAAAAGTAAAAAAATGCCAAAAGGCAAAGATATGAACCACATTTCTCCATTCTAAAGGTTTAATTGAGAAAAATACACTGTAAAAAATATTTTTTGAAGCTGTAAATTATTATGTAAGATTATTAGGCTTATGATATACGGGGCAACTTTTTGAGCAATGTTGCCGAGCAACTTTGGCTAATGTTGCCGTCAACGGGCAACCAAGTGAAACACAGGGCCCACGACTGATCTAAAGTATCCATATAGAAATTTGTTACCCATTCTCAAAGGGAAAGTGCCAAAGCAACATTGCAAAAAAAAAAGTTACCCGACAAAATTGCTCAAAAAGTTCCCCCGTGTATCATCAGCCTAAGAGTATATTTTACATAAAAATACTATTTCTGTCTTTCTACATCAAATTTTCAAGTTTATTTCAATTTTATACTTTCCATTTCTTTGTAATTAAAGTTTTGAGTTAAAACTGTTTCAAAGTAAAACCTACAACAAATGTATTTCAGTGTAAGGTTCATAGTCAATCCTTTATTAAAAGACCCTGATAACCTGAACCCCAGTCACCAAAACTCTGCAGGTTATAGATTAGGAGGAAACACAGGTTTCTGCTCAGCCATAAATCTCCAGCGGCTCTTTGGATTTCTGGTAAGTCATCAAACGGCTGACCCTCGCTCCTCCGCTTGCTGTGGCTTTGTGGCCACTCTTGTTTCCTGAACCTGGGGCGGCTGAACCTGTCCCTGGCACGACCCCATGCAGGAA